TTGGGCTGCTGGATTGGACCAAGCTCAACAGGCTGGGGTTACACTTCCGGTCTGAGGTGGGAAAGCAGGAATTCGGGTGAGCACTAACAGTTAGTGATGAGAATTGTCTCCATTAAGACCACAACAGCATGTAGCTCGAAAAACATGTGTACTTGTTTTCTTTAGCTTTGAATACACTGCAGCCATACAGTGGCTCAATTATTGGACTTACTGGGGTTGTTGGACATGGCTGACCAGGTGACATACATGGTGTAGAGGGAGATGAGGGAGGCCTGAAGCAGACCTGAGGTGGGCTGTGCCTCCTGTGGAGACGTGGAGAAAGCCAAACGTTAGAAAAGAAGGCAGCGTCTGTTAATCAAAAGGTCAGCGGTGTGGCCCTGCTCTTGCAGTCTGCAGGTCTGTGTCTTTGGACAAGATACTGAGCTTGCCCCTGCTACATCCATCTGAGTGAGTGTGTACAAAGCAGTTAGCAATAGTTAGTGAAGATTGTTTTTGTAAAAATGCAGTTTGAGTGAAGCTCCATCATAGTACCTTCCCACAAAGTCATTTTATCATTAACACAAACCTGATTATCAAATAAAATCACATCAAGTGCAAGTAACTGAAGTTAGAAGTGAACTCAAACAAATTTAATTTAACATTACACTGGACAGCTGTAATAGCCTGAATTCGTCACCTAATTACTGATCTTCTCTCATGAGAAAAGTCTTTTCAGTGATTTCTTTCTCACTTTCTTTGCTACGGCACAGTGAGCGGCAGACAATGCTCCAGTGAAGTTGTCGGGGCTTTAACATACGGTGGCCCTGAGAGGTCAAATGCACCGCAAACAGAAAAGCGCTCCAAAAGCACACAAAACACAATGGAATTGAATAAAACACACTGGAAAGAGTGAAAAAAATGATGCAAAAGCTACAAAAAAATAATTACAAAAAACAACAGCGTTTCTGTGTTCAACGTTTCTGGGGAGACAGTAACATGTTACAGCTGTGGAAGTGACAAGCTAACAGTGAACAGCTAATAGCAAATGTATCTACGGTGTTATATGAATCATGTGTTTAAAACTTGCATCTTTTTCTCCCTACGACACTGATGAACCCTCAGTTTCTTCTAAGTGTATCTCAGTGTAATCCTTTCTGTGATTTCTGCAGCTGGTCCGTGGTGTTATTGCGACCCCAGAATCACTGCCGTCGTGTTTTGCAAGTTTTTTCTTAAGTTCCAATCCGTCTGACCTCTCAGGGCCACCACATTAATGTGGCAGCAGCTTTTTCTGTGTGTGAATGGGTGTGTGAATGGGTGGATGACTGGATGTGTAAAGCACTTTGGGGTCCTTAGGGACTAGTAAAGCGCTATACAAATACAGGCCATTTTTCTGTAAATTATAGAAGTCTCTTAACGTCTATCTCCTCAAGTTTCTACATCACCTGGACTTTGGGCAGAATGGACACAATGGACACAATGATGCAGAATATGAGGTTGAGGCTGATGAAGACTTTGTGCTCTGTGCAGTCGTCAAGTTGGGTGTAAAAGATATAGAAGAGCACAACGGCTGTAAACGCCAAAGCGTAGTTGATGAAGGTGACGGAGAGGAGAGCTGTGGGGACAACACAAGAACAGAATCAGAGGCAATCATTTTAAAGTGACACGTCGCTGGGTCGTATAGTAACACTGACTCACTGAAGTATCAGCTTCTTGATCAAAATCCTAGACTTTTACAGCACAACCTCAAAGTTAGTTCAGTGGCTTTTATGCAGATAAATTATCTGTATAATGATTAAGGAAAAAAAAGTAGTACATGTAGTATATACATAGCCTAATCTTACATAATATCCCGTACTATCCCTTATCTGGGAAA